CGATCTTGAAGTCAACCTACTCCGAGACAGCCTCAACAACATCCGAACAGCTACCACCCGCCTCGGAGTAGCTTCCACTGCCCTTAGCGATCTTTCCCTCCGTCCTCGAGGTTAGGTTTCTTCTTCTTATTCTTTCTGGTTCCCTATTCCCCCTCCAATTCCCAAACTGAAATGCTTGGGTGCAGGGAAGAAAATGCTGGTTCCACTAACGGCGTCGCTTTATGTACCGGGAACGCTGGATGATGCTGATAATGTTTTGGTGGATATTGGGACTGGGTATTATGTGGAGGTAAGTCGTTCCTTGCGGTGTATTTCCTTTTTCCAATCAATCAGTAGATAAAGAACTTTTATAATTGGCAATTTTGTATGTGAAAACTGAAAAGTATGAGATTTTGTAAACAACTTTCGCTAACATTTAGTAATTATTATTCATTGTGAAAAATGGTTGACTTTGACAGTTAATTCGGTTGGGAGTGGTAGCTACTTGCTTATCACAACGAATAATTACTAAATGATATCGAAATAGAGAAATTGATCCATTAAACCTTTGATTCGGGGAATAAGAAAGATACACAGAGCTGGAGAATCATTGGGATAGTGTTTGAGTCCTTTTGTAAAGGCTTACCAGTCTGATTTGTGTGAGAAATGGTAATGTATTTTAAAAGTGAAAGAGCAAGCTAGGTTTCAAGTAAACATGAGTGTAATATTGCATATAAGTTTTCCCAAATACTTATACAAACTGAGAGGAGGAAAGCAATATATTGTCTGTCATATGTTGATCCAATAAAAAAGGTAAGTTAATACGGAGTGTGCTTAATAGAATAGCCAAACAAAAATGCGCACACTGTGATATGCCAATCTCAGCATCCATTCAATGGTTACTAATGTCATTATCAGGAGTAATAAAACATTCTAGGTACCAAACACTCCCTTAGTGTGGTGTAGTAGTCAAGGAGGGACAAAACATTGTAGGCCCATGACATGGTAGAAATTAGGTCCTTTGGAGTTGAGTGAAATTGAAGCATATATGATACATCTAAACAATTGATTTAAAAATTATTTTGAAAAATAAAAGTCAAACTTATAAATATTCTTTAAATAATGAGTTATTTGTGTATTGTCAAAATAAATTTTACTAAATAGTCAAAATATATTAACGATTCCATGCAAAGCATAATCCATTGAATATGTACCTATGCACATAGACTCAGACTTAACCAATACTAAAGATATAGAGGCCCGATCCTTGGTTATCTCTACCCCCACCCTGCAGGTCTGAGGTAGAAAATTGTTCTTGACAAATGACAACATTTTATGTACTAGTGAGTGGTAACCAGTGGCTATAGCAAATGTACATAGAACTTGTTAGACCAAAACGGCAGTTTACAACCCATATCATTTATGCCAATGATGGTAATCGTTAGCCCTTTACTAGTATGACATCGTCAAGGAGTTAGCCCGATGCACTACCCCCAAAACTAGTCGTTATCCATCTCTTGGTCAAAAGGTACTATCCTCAGATAATCAGATATAAAGATAACAACTCAATAATAGAAATCCTCACATGGGATTGAAAATTGTTACTCCAATCCCTGCATTCTCGTAGATCTCTTTCTACTTACTAAGGAGTCCTTGAATAGGAAACATATTTCTTAGAAGGACACTAGTGCATGAAGTTTTATATATCACCATACATAGTATGTCTGCTTAGAGCCCAGGGTACCATGTTTTGAGACTTTAATATGTTGTGGATTGCAAAATTGTTATGGCCTATGAAGACAATCATGACAATGAGCCAGTCTTCTAACATATGTGGATTTGTTGTTCGACCATTATGATCTGATCATCATCACACTCCTTGTCGTCATGTGCATGTGAATAAGAGTTAAGACATTGATGGCACTTATCCTCAATCCTTCCGCGGCGCTCTTTTGTTATCGTTTGGTCCTTGCGTAACTTCTCTGAATGTGGAGAGCCTTGCGCATTTGTCACAGATGTCACACAATAAAGAGCAACCTCTGGTTCATATGTTCAAGTAGTCGCCTCTTATTTGGTTTTGTAATGTTTGGGTATTGGGCTTCTTCTTTTTCCACGTTGGGACTGAATGGTCGATCAATAATTAGGTCCAAGTCCCAACAATCCAGATTTGTGGCGTATATGGACATGCTGATTGCGACCACCATGGAGCATTTCTGTGGCGAAGAGGGCTTCCAATGCCATAAGTGATTTATGGTGCTCGCCATTTGTGCCTTAACTGCCATTGATAACTATGATGAACTGTGTGACACATGTATGAGTGTTGTATGTACATGAAATAGAATAGCACAATACCTTTGGCACCCTTCTCATTTTCAAATAAAGGTGAATCACCCTTTTTTATTTACTTGCCAGTACGAGGAAAACTTAATTCTCTAACTTGGGTTTTATCACTATTTGTGTGTAGAAAACTATGGCAGACGGAAAAGACTACTGTGAACGTAAAATAAACCTTCTACAATCCAATTACGACCAGCTTCTTGATGTAAGTTCAAATGTCCATCTTTTGTTATGTGGATTTGTGGAAATATGCAGATTTGCAATTTTTTAAAGACATATTTATTTGTTGTCTAAGGTTTCTTGGATGAACATATTTTTTCACTTATTAGCTTCCCAAAAGTTTTGGAAGGTAGATAAGAATTAGGTTAATGATCAAGATATGTCTATCATGCATAAATGCTTGGTGCTATTTTATAGACACACTAATGCTGGTTCAAATTGTTTGAACCATTTCCCACTTAGTACCTGATTGGATTCCTGGGAGCATTTGGGCAATTCCTTCTCCCACCCTGTTTAGTTATTGTTGAAAAAACTACTCCGTATTCTGTATGTCTGTATGTCTGTATGTGTGTCTGGTAGGTGGTACAGTGTGTGTGTGTGTGTATTTATATAGTTTTTTTTATTCCATTTGTCCCAAAAGATTCTAATTTTATAAAACAAGTTGGTTGTTGGTGTCATTTTCCAAAAATAAAAGGCAAAAACATGCTCTATATGACAACTTTAGTTAAGTAAGTTTTACCTTGTTTAGTTAAAAGATTGCACCCCGACGAAACAGAGTCTTTGGGGGGAGTAGTGCATTGCATCTATACCAAGCCAGTGTATATAGTGTGTTGTGTGTGTGTGTGTGTGTTTATATTAATCATTCACATCATATTTGATAAGATTCAATTACTCCATTTTTGAATGATCTAATCCAAATGGATTCACTCATATCACTGTTATGCCAAGAAGACATATTCTTGAATTTGACAAGTACTTTTAGATTTTTATGAGGTGTGAGTCATGTCACCGTGTGTGTGTGATGTAATCCATCAAACTTGCAAATTATGTAGGAGATTGACACAATTTTAGCCCACTGTTCATATTTATCTTTTTAGTCAAATTTATATGAAGTGTTGATTATATGCTATGAAGCACGGATACTTCCCTAGGGTAGCGTATCGGCGTATCGGATACGTTCCCGTATCCGATACTCTAGGATACCCGTACCGTACGTTCCCGGGCCGTATCTGCAATTTTTAAAAGTTTCCATTTTTTTTTGTAATTTTTTGAAAGTTTCCGATACTCGTATCCTGACGGATACCCGTATCAACTTTTTTTAAAAAAAAATCCCAAAATTTACTTAATAAAATTCTAAAAAAATGAAAATCTAAAACTACATTTTACTTGGTAATCAAATAATGGGCCTATATGGCTATATCCGAATTAAGTCATTAACTCATACTCCGAAGTGGGTACTTGCACTTTTGATTTCAAGATTGCACTTGTTTGACTCATTTCTCATTTTAAATTAATGACTTATTGACTACATTTATATTTCGAGATACACTAGCATATATGAGAAATATTATGAATTTATTACTAAGTATCTTGAAAAAGGAAAATGCTTCAATGCAATGAATGGGTAGACATCATAGGATATTATATGTATATATATATATATATATATATATATATATATATATATATATTAAAAAAAAATCTATTTTTAATATTTATAAATAGACCCCTATAACTTTTAATATTTGTAAATACACCCCCATAACTTTTAATATTTATAAATATGGCCCCGTATCCGTATCCTACTTTTTTTGGTTTTGACGTATCCCCGTACCCGTTTCCGCGTTTCCGCGTTTCCGCGTACCGGTATCGGTGCTACATAGATTATATGTATTTAAGATGGATGCATGTATTTCTGGTCTTTCTGAGTTGTACAGCCAACACAATTATGTTGTATGTGGAACAGAAAGCAATTGTAGATTTGCAGATATAATCCCAAATTCCCAATCTTCTAGCTATATGCATTTTCTGTGCTGGTATTTTCTTTTTTGCTAAGTTACCAGTTGTACTTTTACTAAATGCAGGTGGCTGCAAAGAAGAAAAGTATTTCTGACGAAGCTGGTGCTATCTTACAGGCCAAATTAAGACAACTTACCCCTACAGCATAGAACAAAATGTATTCGTTTGTGCGCTATTTCCTAGTTTAAAGTTGAAATATATTTTCTTGTAAAAAACATCAAATGATCCCGCAAGTAATATTGGGCTGTCAGAAATTCATCTATGGGATTTTAGGACGTAGTGACTTCCCTTGACCCCATTTTTGTATGAGGATTTCTTGATATTAGATGTTATCGAAGTATTGTTTGAGATTAAATTGTTCAGTTTTACGTTCTTGTTTTGGTTTCAAATGCCATATTGACATTGACATATATTAACAAATTAACGGGCTTTCAGATTGATCATTATTGGTGTTTGTTTTCCTTGAAAAGATCCATGAATTATCTATTTGTTTGACTCAGATATTTCCGGGGATAATATTTGTTTTAAGAATCATTATTCATTTAGATACTTCGAAACCGAAAACCTTTAATTTAATTTTAAGCACGCAATGTCTGTAAAAGGTTGAAAGAGTAATAATGAAAAACGAGAAAAACATTATGAGATAGTTGTCATATTTATTTATTTCCCCACAAAATCACAAATATCATCAGCCAGAAGATTTATTCATATTTTACAATTTACAGTGTCCGGATTTACCAAATAAACAGCCGAATACAATGGAGAAATAGAACACATTTTTCTAGCAATTACGGGTGAATTCAATTCAAAGAAGAGTTTTTAAGAATAAGAAAGAAGGCCAATCAATTCACAAAGATGACTATAACCCCAAAATGAAAAAGCCACCCTCAACAGAATCATGTTTCTTTCTCTTTTGCCCCTTTAAGGTAGACGGCATATCTTTGGAAATTCACAATTGCCCAAACCAAATGCCTGAAACCCATCTCTGGCCAAAGCGATTCTGGAGAGTAAAGAAGACATTTTGAACTCTGCCATAGTAGAAAATTACTCAATCGAGTTTCGCCAGAGGTACGTATTATAATATTAGGATCAGGAACACCAGCCATATACATATGCCTATTAATATCTGTCACCCCAATAATGAGGTTCTCGTTTTTACCATTTCCATTCACGTGTCGATACATATCTGAACTCTGCCATTTTTCTTCACATGATAGTTCAACTGCATGCACTATCTCATCCGTTGATGTATAGGCAACACAGATCGATAGGATGGTTTTTGAGTTACCCGAAGTTGCAACCATTGCCCTCTCTGCTGATGACCTAACAGAGTCACTCAAAAGGTCTAGGTTCCCTTTGAAGTACAGTCGAACTCCATAACTGTTGACTACGCTCTCCTCTTTAATCAACTCTTCAATTTTTTCCTGCATCAAGAGCATAAGGGATCCAACTTCTTCGGGGCGCCTCTTAAAGTTATCAATACTAAAGGCATAAACAGTTATGTACTTCACACCAAACTCATAACAATATTTTAACAAGTTTATAAGAGCAGCAAACCCAGCCCTATGCCCATGTCCCTCTTCCAAATTCTGTTTCTTCGCGTATCTTCGATTGCCATCCATTATAAATGCAATATGAGTTGGAACAGGGCCGGCAGAAAGTAGTGAGATGATGCACCTTCTAATGAAATAACACATGTTTTCTAGAAGCTGAATGTTGGTTTTTTTACCACTACTACTCTTCTCCATATCGGAACTTCAATGTAGTCCCAGATGCAGCAAAACCAATCTGATAAAGGCAGTGTACACTTTGAGATCCGTTAACTGCATTTGAGAAAAAATAGTAGTTCAATAAGTAACAAACAAGCACTCGTGAGTTGTGCTACCTTTTGTAACACAAAATGAAAACATGATAAACATGCAATAGAAATATGGAATACACACACACAAGCATGATGAATCCAGCCATAGAACTTGCCGCAAAAAACTAGAGCACTCCTACAGGTGGCCAAAAATCCAAGATGAGGATTGTATTTGTTAGTTGCTCTGGAAATGTATGTATGTATGTATGTATGTATGTATGTATGTATGTATGTATGTATGTATGTATGTATGTATGTATGTATGTATGTATGTATGTATGTATGTATGTATGTATGTATGTATGTATGTATGTATGTATGTATGTATGTATGTATGTATGTATGTATGTATGTATGTATGTATGTATGTATGTATGTATGTATGTATGTATGTATGTATGTATGTATGTATGTATGTATGTATGTATGTATGTATGTATGTATGTATGTATGTATGTATGTATGTATGTATGTATGTATGTATGTATGTATGTATGTATGTATGTATGTATGTATGTATGTATGTATGTATGTATGTATGTATGTATGTATGTATGTATGTATGTATGTATGTATGTATGTATGTATGTATGTATGTATGTATGTATGTATGTATGTATGTATGTATGTATGTATGTATGTATGTATGTATGTATGTATGTATGTATGTATGTATGTATGTATGTATGTATGTATGTATGTATGTATGTATGTATGTATGTATGTATGTATGTATGTATGTATGTATGTATGTATGTATGTATGTATGTATGTATGTATGTATGTATGTATGTATGTATGTATGTATGTATGTATGTATGTATGTATGTATGTATGTATGTATGTATGTATGTATGTATGTATGTATGTATGTATGTATGTATGTATGTATGTATGTATGTATGTATGTATGTATGTATGTATGTATGTATGTATGTATGTATGTATGTATGTATGTATGTATGTATGTATGTATGTATGTATGTATGTATGTATGTATGTATGTATGTATGTATGTATGTATGTATGTATGTATGTATGTATGTATGTATGTATGTATGTATGTATGTATGTATGTATGTATGTATGTATGTATGTATGTATGTATGTATGTATGTATGTATGTATGTATGTATGTATGTATGTATGTATGTATGTATGTATGTATGTATGTATGTATGTATGTATGTATGTATGTATGTATGTATGTATGTATGTATGTATGTATGTATGTATGTATGTATGTATGTATGTATGTATGTATGTATGTATGTATGTATGTATGTATGTATGTATGTATGTATGTATGTATGTATGTATGTATGTATGTATGTATGTATGTATGTATGTATGTATGTATGTATGTATGTATGTATGTATGTATGTATGTATGTATGTATGTATGTATGTATGTATGTATGTATGTATGTATGTATGTATGTATGTATGTATGTATGTATGTATGTATGTATGTATGTATGTATGTATGTATGTATGTATGTATGTATGTATGTATGTATGTATGTATGTATGTATGTATGTATGTATGTATGTATGTATGTATGTATGTATGTATGTATGTATGTATGTATGTATGTATGTATGTATGTATGTATGTATGTATGTATGTATGTATGTATGTATGTATGTATGTATGTATGTATGTATGTATGTATGTATGTATGTATGTATGTATGTATGTATGTATGTATGTATGTATGTATGTATGTATGTATGTATGTATGTATGTATGTATGTATGTATGTATGTATGTATGTATGTATGTATGTATGTATGTATGTATGTATGTATGTATGTATGTATGTATGTATGTATGTATGTATGTATGTATGTATGTATGTATGTATGTATGTATGTATGTATGTATGTATGTATGTATGTATGTATGTATGTATGTATGTATGTATGTATGTATGTATGTATGTATGTATGTATGTATGTATGTATGTATGTATGTATGTATGTATGTATGTATGTATGTATGTATGTATGTATGTATGTATGTATGTATGTATGTATGTATGTATGTATGTATGTATGTATGTATGTATGTATGTATGTATGTATGTATGTATGTATGTATGTATGTATGTATGTATGTATGTATGTATGTATGTATGTATGTATGTATGTATGTATGTATGTATGTATGTATGTATGTATGTATGTATGTATGTATGTATGTATGTATGTATGTATGTATGTATGTATGTATGTATGTATGTATGTATGTATGTATGTATGTATGTATGTATGTATGTATGTATGTATGTATGTATGTATGTATGTATGTATGTATGTATGTATGTATGTATGTATGTATGTATGTATGTATGTATGTATGTATGTATGTATGTATGTATGTATGTATGTATGTATGTATGTATGTATGTATGTATGTATGTATGTATGTATGTATGTATGTATGTATGTATGTATGTATGTATGTATGTATGTATGTATGTATGTATGTATGTATGTATGTATGTATGTATGTATGTATGTATGTATGTATGTATGTATGTATGTATGTATGTATGTATGTATGTATGTATGTATGTATGTATGTATGTATGTATGTATGTATGTATGTATGTATGTATGTATGTATGTATGTATGTATGTATGTATGTATGTATGTATGTATGTATGTATGTATGTATGTATGTATGTATGTATGTATGTATGTATGTATGTATGTATGTATGTATGTATGTATGTATGTATGTATGTATGTATGTATGTATGTATGTATGTATGTATGTATGTATGTATGTATGTATGTATGTATGTATGTATGTATGTATGTATGTATGTATGTATGTATGTATGTATGTATGTATGTATGTATGTATGTATGTATGTATGTATGTATGTATGTATGTATGTATGTATGTATGTATGTATGTATGTATGTATGTATGTATGTATGTATGTATGTATGTATGTATGTATGTATGTATGTATGTATGTATGTATGTATGTATGTATGTATGTATGTATGTATGTATGTATGTATGTATGTATGTATGTATGTATGTATGTTGTCTTTTGAGATTCTGACCACCAGATTGTCTCTGAATTAACATTTTAAATTAAAATTACTTAAGTTTTTAACTTTTTACCTATCACTTTTATCAGCTAATACAATTCCTGCCTTTAAGTCATTGTACATAAAAAGACCCTTTTCTTTTGGTTCAATGTAGAGCTTCGATTTAAAGATGCACTAGACTCTCTCTGAGTAAATGGTTTTGCTATGTGGATTTGTTCTAAAAAACTTCATTGTGTGGTTTTATTCTCCAAACCAGGTAATGAAGAATCCTCTAAAGAAGGCATCTTAAATTAACTGACTATTACGTTTAGCCTGTGTTGGTTAATGTTGCTTCTATTAGCGCTTTCTTTTATATGGTTCATTTTGAAAACTTCTTTTTGTTATTTATCACTTCAGGTGGCATGAGTAAAGAAATCAGCTATATTTTCTTTTCTATGGTTCTGATCTTTTGCTTGATTAGCACAATAGGTATAAAAATTAAAAGAATCATGGGCAATTGAATATAGATAGTGTAAGAACATCACAAATAGATATTTGGGTGTTCAACATTTATTAAAATTAAAGATTTGTATAATAGTATGGTTTGATGTACGACCTGGCAGCTGCACATGTATCTTTGTGAATGAAAAACACCAAACTTTTCTTGACCAATACTTATACTAAAAAATACTCAAAATTTCACAAAATAAAATCAACAGTGTGAATTCTAGTATAAACAACCTGCCATTATGTGAACTTCAGGACCAGCATTCAAAATTCAAATTGAAGTATCAAACTTACATACAGATTACAGCCTACTAACAGCTAACTATGGAATGACAACATATGAACCTACTCCCAAGTGCCAACATACTCGATTCTTTGGAAAAACTAAATCAATGTAGTAGATCATTTTCGCAGGAAGTTCATGAAAAAATACAACCCGTAACATAAAAGAGTAATAGCTTCAAATTGAACCTACTGGCTACTAGCTAAATTTGAACCAATATTATCATAAAATTTGCACAATTACAACTTTACACCTTTATTGGATGAGTAAAATGTGACAAGTTAACGACTCATAAAGAATAATGAATGAAAACCTAAAGAATTGCAAACCTACACTAACATATGTGAAAAATTCCCGTTTTCCTACAAAACACACAGTGGAGGAGGCAAGTAAAATCAATTAACAGCGAGACAGCAAGCAAAATAAGATCACAAAAAATGGAGATCGAACCGAAGAAGAACAAACTCAAAAAAATTCTCACGTACCTGAACTAATCAGGTCAATCCGTCAAAGGTGCTGCCGTGGCTGCATGCTGGGCGAGATCTAGGGTGATGGCGTGTTACAGTGCTGTATTTTGGAAAAAGTTGTGTCTCTGTGTGCTGCCTCACTGGACCTGGCAGGATCGTCGCTTAGAACTCAACTTTAAAGAACTCTGCTTTACTCCGTTAAACTGTATATGCAAAAAAGTAGCTTTTAACTAAAAAAAAACATTTTAAAATCAACATTACCATAAGAATTAAGAAAACTATATTACTTGGATAATAAAAACAAATCAATTTCGAATTGCACAAGAATATAAATACTTCGTATTTGTTTGTGTGTGTGTGTGTATACACATTCATAACATACCAGAGGCCCAAAGCATTTGGTTCTAAGTGAAGAAGATGCAAAAGACAGTCTGAGTTAGACAAATGGTGGGGGAGTCATTGTTGACTGTGAAGAGAAAACTGAACATGTGCTTGGAGCCTCCCATTTCTCCCTACAGTAACCAGCAACCCCAATTATTTTTCAAATGCGTTTTGATTTAGGAGGTTGTGTGTGTATTTAGGTTTTTGATTAGATAAAAACAGCCTTAATGATGAATTTGGGAAATTTAATGTTTTAAATCTAATGGCTCAAAACATGTCAACATTATAGTATATTTGACAAAAATATGGTGGCAGTTTGATAAATAGACCAATGTTTTCTATCAGTGTAAGAAAGTGCAACAGACATATTTAATGGTGCATCAAACTAAGTAATGAGCAGTGGCTGATCTAGCACCTTTATTTTGGGTGTTTAAAATTAATTTAAAAGTAAAACTAAGAACAATGATCGTGTGTAATGAAGGCGTTCTACCATTGTATCTTTGTCAACAAAAAATTACACTCATACAGATGGAGTACCTGTATTATTCACCGCCTCTCACCCAATATGTCTGATGCATATTTAATTAAAGATTGAAAAAAAAAATAAGCAAATCAAGCCCACTCTGAAACTCGCGACGCAAAGACAAATGCTTACTTACAGAAAACACACTTATTCTAGCCAAATTAAAGAAAACAAGATAATGCGGATGCATCTCGATCTCATACAAGTTTGTCAATTAGCAAACATCCTAAATTTAACCTTAAACCCTGCAAACATATATTTGGTTACGTTTGGCACAAGTGCACAACTAGCTGAAAAGATACTTTTTAGTAACGGTTAAATTTTAGTGACTAAAAGGATCTTTACTCATGAGTGCAATGTAGAGATTTCTTCATATTAGCTGCTTTGAAGTTTACTGTTAAGAATTTGAGAAACCATCAGACCCTCTGCAGGTCGTATTTATCCACATAATTAGGTGAAAGAAAAGATTTTAGACTTTTTACATAATACAAAAGCAAGAAGTTTACTCCTTACGAGCTCACTAAAGCTGTAAACCAGTTTGAAATTAAATATAGCAAATTAGCATTTATGTGAAGCACTATGAACGAGAAAGGAAACAGGCGAACTAAATAAAGGCATAAAACTGAATTAAGGATGTTTTCTTTTGGACTGTTTTCAGTCCAAGACCAGATCAGACCAGACTTAAACAGACCAGACCAGACTTGGATAGTTATAAAATACAAGGAGAGACCAGACGTTTACAATTCAGACCAGACCAGACTTAAACAGACCAAACCAGATCAGACCAGACTAGCAAATTTCAGTTCAAAAGAAAACATCCTAAATAAAATATAACAAAAAATATACTGAAAGTAAAATATGAAAATTGGAAATCCAGAGACTCAGCGAGTAGGCAGTGGTGGAGGCCGGAGGGCCCAGCTGCGCAGGGCGTGACTCGGAGCGAGTGAGGCGCACAGGCGCAGGGGGACAGTAGGGCACTGCGGTCTGCGAAGCGAAATAAAGAATTGCAGGGGCGATTTGGCCGATTCCGAGCTTTCCCGCGAAGTCTCAACTTGTCTGCTTCACTGCTTGTCGACCGTCGTTCAGTACTGGTTTACGGCTTCAGGCTTCGCTTGGGCCCTTTTTAAGATTTGTGACAATATGAGATTGTAATAGCTTATATGGACTTCTGTGAGATTTTAAAGGATTGTTAAAATCCTGCTGTCCTCAATGTGGAGTTTGGTGGAATCGGGCAAAATCCAGTTGTCCTCAAAATGTCAATGGATTCTTTTAGTCATGGATTGCTAAGGATTTCCATGGATTTCAAAGTTAAAATACAAAGGCAATAATACGGTCCAAAATCTCAGCATCTCTTCCAGATTTCAATGGATTTCCAATGTAAGCAAAGCTAGAAGCAAAACAATATATTTCTAGACGACTCACCAGAACAAGTTGTCGCCCACATCTACTCTCCTTCTTCGGCTACGAAAGGTCAGAAGCGGCACTCACCTTACGAGCGACAGACCACAATGGACCTGTGGCGGCGAAGTTTTAGGTCACGGTGGAGGCAAGCAATCTGCGAAGCTGGCAAACACTGAAAAAGAAATTGGAGCTTCGTGGGTTTGGGAACGAATGAACCTGCGCGTCGATGGATTTCAGATTCCACGGAATCTAAAAAATTCTATTCAATTCCATACAATTCCTTTAAAATCTCAATCATTTAAAATCTTATGAAATCCCGATTGAGAACACCCCCTTAAATTCGTGTGGATTCTTGTGTAAGACATTTCAAGATTTATGGTATGGAATATGAATGGTGCTCAAAAGCTTTATGAAGTTTCATCAAAGCGGAAGCATTATTTCAGAAGCTTTGAATGGTGCTCAGAAGCTTTGAAGACTATCCTGCCCATACCTGCAAGTTGCCAATTTTCATCAAAGCCGAAGCTTTATTTCCGATCTCTTCCGGATGGGGCGGTCTTTTTTCCGGCGGCCTTCTAATGGTTCCAACACAGAAGTTTCAGACTGCGACCAAGGGCATACATAGCGACCAAGTTTCAGACTGAAACGAGAAGGAAAATAGATGCCGTTGCCGTTGTTTTCTGCTTTGCGTCGATGGAGTCCAAATCACGTGAGAGGATGAGAGTTGGGAGTGGTTTTGTGCTTGTATTTGGGCTCCCTTTAGATAAGTCCAAGTTGTAAAATGAGGCATAATTTTAGTTTGGATCCCATTTTACTGTGTAAATTGGATTTTGTATACTTTTTTAGACAACTTTTTTTTGTATCCCAACCCCATTTGGAAAGACAAAAGTCTCTCTATCAGAAATATATTGAAAGCCATCAAAATTATTAATGGAGGGGCAGTATTGTCTTTTCATATGGGGTTAGGGTGCAAAAACAATTTTTTTTAAAAAAAATGGAGTGCAAAGTCCAATTTACACAATAAAACGGGGTGCAAACTCAAATTAATCCAAGTCGAAATACAACTAGACATTATAGGATTTATAAAATGTCTTAGAATGTCTCAATTAAAATACACTCAGATTTCATAAATTCTAAAATGTCCTAAATGAATACACCCCTTAATGTCTCTGGGTGAGGCCATCTTACATGTAATGTCATTTTTTTACTTTTTGAATGAGTATGATTTTCTATACTTCCTTTTGTAATGAGATCCAAACCCACAATCTCCTCTTTTGGGATATTAGCTTTGACTAGTATTATACCCGTGCGATGCACGGGAAAACTTAGGGGTTTTAATAATACAAATAATATCTTGAGCCTTGGAGCAATCGACATGCTCAGATGCTCTGTTTTTTGTTGATGTCTTTAGTTTTAGGTCTACACTTTGAAAATTCTGTTAGATATTATGGATGATTTTACTTGGACTGTAATTTGTTGGTCTGGTGTGGTTTGATCTGGTCTGGTCTGGTTCCTTTATATATTTATAACTACTCAAGTCTGGTCTGATCTAGTCTGGGACAAATTACAGTCCAAGTAAAAACATCTTATGTCGTTAGAAGGATCTATATGATCAGTGATTGTTGTGTCACACTCATTGCTCTTTCAAGGGTGATCGTCTCTGAATTTAGCTGTAGAGTTGATAGTGCTAGTTGGTTAGGGATAATTGTTGTCAGGGTTGATCCTTTTGAGTTTGTTGTTGGTCTTTTTAATATAAATGGTTTATTTTGATGATAAAAAAAACTTCACGTATAAAAATTTAATTGTCGTAATGTTATTATATCAACTGTAAATATAAACGATAGAAAAAAACTAAGAAATAAAATATTTCCATAATAAAAGTATAATAAAAGGTGAAAGGTATAAGTGTTGCAATTGGGTTTTCAGGCCTGAATATTTCTTGCTTCGTCCCGAATTGCAAGACACTTTACGGCTTACAATGTTCGACCGACGATAAAGCAAACGAATTCCTTTCCGCATTCAAATTATTTTTAGAAAAGAAGAATTACATATTGAGAAATATATTAACATTTTTACAAAGTCACAAAAATGAGAATCAAATTTGATAAAATTTTGATATATAAAGTAAATGATTCAAAGTGATTTGTGTTGACCAAGTAAATAGGAAATATGAGACTGAGATAGTACTAAACAAAAGCTAATTACCAACAAAGTGACCACAATTACATTTGGACAGAAATGTGACTAAGATGTTTTATTCATGTCACCACTTTCAAATCACTGTCGGATGTCACTGCCGCCATCACATGTGTCACTACTGCCACCGCCCCCACCGCCGTCACCACCGGCCACAGTGACATCTCTGCCGCCAGTTTCATAGACGCTATCGCCGGCATCAATGTGATTGCCACAGTGAAACCTACGCAGTGACACCCCCGCCTCCAGTGTCATTGCCGCCGCCGCCTGTGTCACTGTGATCACCACAGTGCCACACGACGCCACCTCCAACCACAGTGACAACCACCTCAAGTCACAGTGACATGCCGGCTCTGGCCATGATGTCACATGTAATTTTTGTAACGTTGCATTTTTATTTAAATACGAACTTAATATTAATTATTTATTAAATCAATCCAAAATACCACACGTCATTAATTCAAGCGATTGCTTTGAAACTATTGATTCAAAAAAAAAAAACTTTGAAAATCTTGATTTGAATAATAGTTTTGATAGTATTTAAGTAATTAGTATATCCATGTATATCAATAATTTAAAGATTTTATTGTGATACTACTATTATTTAAGTAATTAGTAAAGAATTTCAGAAGAAAATGTCTATCTCTTTATTCACTCAATCAAGCGCACCATTTTCTTTTAATTTTAAAATCTTTAATTTGTGAAAAAAATATGATCATTCGTTTAATTAATCCATATTAGCAAATGTATATGTTAATCACACTCAATACTTTTATATGTCCGCGAAAATTGTAAATTGTAGGACTTGTATTATCTTTTACATTCATTTACTTGCCTAAATTTATTCTTTATAAACATTCTGCATATTGACCTGAGATATTCACAAAAAGAATAAAATCACTAAAGTCACAATTTATGCATTTCTCTATAATAAAGAATGAAATATCTAAATTCATAATTTAGACAATTTAGATAACACATAAATAAAATAACTAAAGCCACAATTCTTTAGATGTAAAATTGTCATTTGTTCTTCTAAATGTATTCTTTATAAATGTTCTAGTCTAGTCTAATTTTAAAATAAAAAACAGACTATTTTGCTCTAAAACAGAAAACGTATTACTCATATACTCACTTAACTTTCTCCCAAGCTATTATTATCTATCCATATGCACAAATGCTCCCTTTTTTACCCAACATAGTACTTCGACATTCAAGAAGTGCACAAACAAACCACCATCTCCCCGCAAGCGCATACGATCTACTACACCCTTCAAATTAGTATAGCCTTTTTACTTTTTTTGATCTGATTAATATCTAGTAATGTTGAAGTTATTTCCCTAGTATGTTTTTAATACACCCTCTGTACCGAAAAAGATCACCAAATTGACTTTTCGTTATCAATGAGAATCAAAATTGTATCGACTACACTCTACCACCAATGAAAATTATATCAAAATTTTCTTTATTTTCTTCCAAAAAATGTTCGTTATTCAAGGTCGGGGCCGCAGGCCAAAAAAAAGTAAAAAAAAAAATAAATTTAGGCCATTATTCCGCCTTTGCAATATGTGTAGTGGGCTCATTTTTCAACCTAACATAAAGTTATATCAGGCCCAACCGCCTAAAGTACCAAAATTAACAAAAGGCATCTCTGGACTTTGGAGCAACTCATCGAAATCTCTGGATCATCCGTCATCCACCAACGGTTGAAGTGTCTAACACAGTGGCCAAGTCGTCGACTCCCATCGTGGCTTTGCCCTCCAGCAGGCGCCAACACCATATAGCACGCTTCCTCAGTCATCACCTCAAGCCCATCGCCGGGTGGCATGCTCTCCGCCAACCACCCTTCGGCGGTTCAGTCAATTGGTCCTCAAATTTCACATTTCATAGTTCCGGTATTCCTCTCGTCCTTCATTAACTTATTATTGCATTGCTGTTTATACATATTTAGTTAACTTAATGACATAATTGTTTTCTGAAACCTAAGCAAACTCTTAAGAAACCTAATCACAATATCTTTGTAGATTTCGTCAGATATACATATAACAATGCGTTTTTGTAATTGTTATCAGATCATACTCCAAATTGTCGCAAATGGAACCTTTTAAAATTAGTAATTATTACTGCATGAATGCCGTGTTTTTAAAATAACCACTGATTGCGTAAGGCCGTAAGCTAGAAAATACCTATGTATTTTTCTGCTTAACATAATCAATTTGAGGGATTTTATACTTCTCTGTCAACTATACTTCTATAATACAATAGATACTAAAGCAAAATATCATGTTCTAATCATTAAAGAATAGTACCTTTAATGATATTACATTATATTTAAAGAAAAATAATTTTTGTATTGTATTGCAAATTTGTACACATATCAATAAATCTCAATGATTCAAGAAAAAAATAAAGATTTACCTGGACATAGAAGTACTTGTTGTTTAGCGAAGCATGGATGGAAATAGAAATAAAGAAAGTCTTCATCAAAATTTGAAAACACGCCATTGACAATTCATTAGAAAAAAAAGCACGATTAGTACATAATTTTTGTGTGATCTAATCCATGCTGTTGAGCTAATCCACATTTTGTGTGACCACCTGCAGTGCTAAAATACACTTTAGACATCTATCACCTTAAAGTATGTTTTTAAATAATCTGTTCGAGATATAAAAAAAATAATAAGGACATCTAATAATGCGCGAAGACATTACTTTTCGCTGGACACCCTTGTTTCGCTGGACATTACTTTTGCATAGGCACACCCTTGTTTCGCTAGACATTACTTTAGCATATGCACCTGATCAAAAGAAGAACACTCAATCATTATGTTTAATTATTGTATTATTCATATTTTCATGATAAAAGTAGTCCTTTCATTTATGTGATGCAGTATGTACCAAATAAAAGCAAACCTCTTTGCTGCCAGGAGCACCAACTCTAGACTCTTTGCACTTTTCTTGAATGCAAAAACTTTAGTAGCACAGACCAGTCTCATTTTTACTGCCTCCATTGACATGGTTCGCTATTCTCAACCTCAGTTGTATTCCGGAAAACATGGCTGTTGAGGACTGTAATGGGCTTATTCATATATCTTGTGTGATGTGGGGGGGGGGGGGGGTACTCTAGCCTAGAGGCATATGAATAGTTAAACATTTATTCAAGTTTACATTGGAATACGAAAAGCCATTTGAATGTTAATAGATTACTCAATAGATTACTTTTTGTAAGCAATCCGTTGGCAGCATATTTGATAATTCCAAGCATAAGAAAAGGAACAACCTTCTTCCATTAATGTTTATTTCGGTATTGGGATAGATGCGGCAATCTTTCTAAAAAGAAGGGACACCCTCAAGACATAACAATTAATGTATTTATTGATGCTAATCCAGAACACAATTAAAGGCACACATACGTTCTCTTTGGTGTACTGCCTTTCCCGCCCAAATTCCCTCCCAACTTTCCCTCACACTTTTCTGTTTTACTATATAAATATATATAATAATATAGATACCATCAGACAATAAAGTACTCCCCAAAGTACTTAACT